CCGCCGCCGCATTCGTGCCGATCGCCTTACGCGTGCGTGTTGGGCCGCTCGGCGCATGCGCGGCCGCGTTCAATACATCGCTTGGGCGGGGGGGGGGGGGGGGGGGGGGGGGGGGAATTCTAGCTTGCTTGACGATAAATATTTATTTTAGGTCTACACAGTCAGAAGACTAGAAGGAAAAAATTTACTTAGATCGTATTTATAGTTCTGACAAAACAAGTAACCTATAAGTGTATAATATTGTCTATTTGTCTAGTGTCGGAGCGGCGCCAGACATCTTACTGCAGCCTTAGTTACTAGTTAGGTATATAATATTAATTATGTTGAATGTTGGTTTATCCCAATTCAATTGTCTCAAAAATGACTACTAGACCGTTTTTAATAAAAGTTATATTAATAGATTCCTTGAGAATTAGAGTGCTCATAGTCTTGTTTTTCAACCCCGGCAAATAAGTAGCTAAAGGGCAACTCATATATGTATTTTTCTCTGTTCTCGTATAACATTTTATTATTGTTTGTTTACTTATAGGAACAGGGTATAATTTAAATACTAGATGTAACACTTAATTATACAGCCTTCTACATAATTTTTAAAATTTAGTATCTATCTACTAATCAAATATTAACATTAAAATATATCCATAAATACATTTTATATGAGTGAACAAGGTTCATATTTTTAAATTCAAGCGTTAACCATTAATTTCTCCTCAAGCAATTTGTATGATGGATAGGGTTGCCAATTTGCCATTTATCTTGGTTTTGAAAATAGCATCATAGACCCGGGTGTATGTCTCAATAAAGCAAAATAATTGTCCTGGGAGTAATTGGAAAATCATAATGCATTACAAACTATAAATAAACAATAATCATGATTCATAATGCAAATTACAACTACTTCTAATTTAATCAATTAATGTGCTGCCGTAAATTGTAATTAAAGAATGAAATATTTTGAAACTTTAAACAAAATAATCATTAAACATATAAACATAGGTTAGGTTAGGTAAACATTGATGAAAAAATTAAATGCACATAATTTTAAATTGTTTGACATTTATATAATATTTATTATCATTATAAATATCGATTTCAATAATACATGTTGATAGTAATTGTTCAAAATGAAAATAATAATACAGTAAAATATATTATTTTTCATAAGCTACTACTCTTTTTACTATAAATAAATACATTAAAAGGGTGGTAAGGAACCAAATTTGACTAATAATTGCTAACTTATATGTAACATGAGGCAATTTAAAATTTACAAATATTTTGTCAAATTAATGATATTAGTAAGTTACGAATAAATAAATTTCTTAAACATTTTCAATTGTTAATTAAACTTAAGTAATTAAAGAATACTCTATTGAATAATTTAACATGAGAATTGAAGTACAATATAAACAAAACCTAACTGGATATTAAAGCAAAGACAAAAACACACAAACACGAGAAAAAACTCGGCAAAATAATAAGGTATATTTTATAACAATAATAATAAATTATTTACACGTTTAATACTGAACAAAATTTTACAGGTGGGTATCTCATTATAACTATCTTAGTGTATACTGGTTATTAACGGCTCTTACAACATTTCCCAAACCAGGTTCTGGGGTTGACCGATTAGTAAAGTCTGTCTGCAAGTCTTTTGTTTTGGTTCTAATTGGAGCCAACATTGTCTTAAACTAAAAAAATATAGTTTATGTTGACAATTACCTAGGTATGTTTATAATATTATATTATATCAAGACATATAAATACTTCTCTATATAGTTGAGGTGATATGGGTCGAAGTCCGTGATCCATGTTCAGAGGTAATGGGGCATTTGGATCACGAGTAATAACAATAAAATCAATACTGGTATTGCTTGGAATCACTCCATATTTAATTGGAGTGTTTAATATATAATCTCTGAGAGTTACATCACCAGGTCCACCATTCTCCAAAGGTATTAAATGCGTTTGAAAATGTTCAAGCATATCTTGTATACTAGGGAATGATAGATGTTGTACTCGACAATGCCCTTGGTCGTTCAGTGTCATTCGTAAATGCTAAGTACAAAATATATCATGTATTTTTACAATTTTTCATGCGTAAATGTGAAATGTATGCCGAATGTTAAAAGTATAGAAAAATTGACTATCATTTTGTAGAGCGCTCTACAGCAAAATGTGTTTTACTAAAGGCTGAAGTACTAAAACTGCAGTTTACAGTTATGGAAAACTTTTAATTTTTCCTATTTATATATAGGTTATGGAATTCTAGATAGATATCTGAAGTTATCAAACCAAATTTAAAAAAAAAAAATAACATACTTACTATATGTATTTTAAAATCTAAATTTATATCTATTTAAACAAAAACAAAATTACTTATACTTGGTATTACAAAGCAAATTAAATTATTATTATTATTATATCAGTAGACTACATACTGAATAAGTAATATCACTGGTAGAGCACCATACAACATGATAGCCAAAATAATATATCTAAATTTTAATAATACCTTTGGTTTTCCCTTAAAATTAAATGTCAAGACATATTCACCCTTTCGAGTTTCAGACTGTCTGACTAGAAACATTCCATGTCCATTAACGCCTAAGTGTGACACCAAATTAGTAGCATCAGATCGAGCCAACATACCATGAAACCATGGATAAAGGCGAAGAGATGCAGATATATCATTTTCTTTAATAAAAAAAAATCAATTGTAATTTTTCATTCACAAATTAGAAATTTGATATTACTATTTATATTCTAATTAATACTTACCAACATCATTGTTTAAAATAATATCCAAATTATTAGTGGAACTCTGAGGTGAGCTTAATAATGTTTCATTTGAATGTGCAGCGGATGAATCCAACACACCATCAATACTACCAATAATACTATACAAAATAAATTCATAAGTTTCAATCATGGCTTATACATTTTTTAGAAAATAAGTATATTCATATCAAATTATCACCTTATATCATCATGCAAGCCATCACGTTTACGCATGCAATATTTTACAGTTGCAAGCCATTGACGCATTTCATCTGGACTCAAGGCATCAATTATATATTCAACATTGTTTTCATCCTATATAAAGAATGAATAATTTAGAAATAGTTTTACATCAAATTAAATTATTAATTTGTTATTATATTATATATGAAACATTAATACTTATAAGTTGTAACGTATAAGTTATAAATTTATAATGCTTGAATAATTACTTTCAGTACAAATGTATTAGCATATCGTTCAGGCATTTCAATTTCTTTGGTTTCTCTAGCATCTTGTATCAAAAAACAAAACACACCGTGTTTTGATTTCAAAGACTAAAATTTAAATATGTATATGGTTAATAATTTAACTTACATTTTTTTTTAAATTAGGTGCAGTTTTTACTTATCTATTAGTTTATTATATTTTAAGGGTACCTACACTTTTATAAGATATAAAGGATAAATTTTAAATTTTAAAAAATAGATGATAAAAAATGCAAAATAAATATTAAAATATTACACTACGTATAAAAATAAGAAAATCATATTATACCTTAGGAGGACAATAAAATTCTAGGGTGTAACCGTCTGTGTTCTTAACCAGAGCAAGTCTTGCTTTTTCCCATCTAGGTTCACCACCATCAAATGTTTCACCCAACCGATAGTTTACTATACCTTCCTTGCGACACTCCACAATAATTTTGGCTAGCTTTTTCTTACACTTTATAGGCCTTTGAGACATTATAGATGCAGCATCAAGTTCTACCTCATCAGAATGCTGTTTGTGGAACAGTGGTCGAAGAGCTCTAAATGACATTCGTCTACAAAAAAATTAGTATAGGTAAATATTTTTAGAATATTAAATGTAAGATAGAAGTAATTAAGATATTCAGGTACTTCAACAATTCTAACTTACCTAAAAAAAGGTTTTTTCTTGACAGTGATCATAGACTCTGTATCTGAATCACTGTTACCAGAATCATTGTCAGGCCAATTGTATCTATCACACTCACGTTTAAAATGAGTTGCAAACACTTTAATGTAATGACCAAGTACTTCCTGCCGAGTCGATGGCTGAGATGAAAATGATGATACTAGGTGTTCAGCATTGACTCTGGCTTGCTCATCACATAAATCAATCCAATTATTTGCATGATTCATGATTTAAAACCTAAAAATTTCACTAATGGACACACAAAACTCCAGTATGTAATCGAAATAACAGTGTTTTCCTTTCATCACTAGTACACATAACTATTTCTTTTTAATTTGTTAATGAACATAAACACGTGCTCATTTTAAAGGTAAAATACATACGAGAAATCTTGGTAAAAATGTATTTAAATATATGATACTCGCCTAAAATTGGTGTGTTAAAAGTCCATGCAAGTATATTCAAAATTAATTATGTAAATAAAGTATTGTGTTTTTCAAAAATTTGAACATTTTTAAGGAGTGTAAACAACGACGTATGTTCCGCTAGCAATATTTGATAAGAAAGTGTTGACTGCAAAGTTCCCAAACGAGTCAAAAAACACAATATAGTCAAAAATCATTACCGACTGATAGATAGCGCAGTACTCCGGCTATAACCAATGATTTTTACGATACGGAAAGCGGGCTTTGGCATGACTAATAAATAATAATTAATAAACATATTATAACACATGTGTTCGATAAACATTAGACATAGACTTACAAATTATTATTTAAATATATATGCCCTATGGTCATAAATATTAAAGAATGGATTATCCATTGTTATTTTATTGACAAAAAATAGAGGGAAGTGTGCCGAAAAGAAAGAGGGAAAGAGAGGAAGACTGATTATATCAATGCCTTTTAACAGCAGTCTTATCATAAATTATATTTGGTGATTATTATAATCTTGTTTCTATAGTTCTATACTAATTGTTATTCTAAATTTCATTATTTAACTTATTTACTCTTAATTGTATTCTATTTAAAACGATTGTACGTTTATATTAGAACTATGGTTCATATTTGCATAGTATGTAGACTTTCATCTACGGATAATAAAGATCTTGCATTACACAGGTACGATTAAATGATTAATATTACTTGAAATTTAAAATGTAATTTGTTTAAAGATTAGAATGAAAAAAAGCAATAGATATTAGACATTAAGTTCATTAATAATTATTATGGTTAGATGTCCTAAGAACTTGGAAAAGAGGCAAAAATGGGAATCAGCCTTAGGAGTGCAACAACTTGGTAAATGGAATTATGTTTGTGGAAATCACTTTACTAGTGACAGTTATATCTTTAGTAATGCTAGAAGAATATTGAAGAGTAATGCTGTACCAATGTAAGAATACTTATTTTATTTATGATTGAAAATTAAGGAATAAAATGTAGTTTAAAAGAAACTTTCTTTTTAGGGTCGCTCAATATTCAGATGAGTCTTATTCACCGATTATTTGTACTTCTGCAACTGATAATGATTCACAGTGTGTATTTTCTTTAATATCTATGGTTTTAGCAATGACCTCATACTCAACAGTATACTATTATAGTAATATATATCGTTCTATGATATTAAGGTCTATGGATTTTGATCACGATTAAAGATATACAGGTTGGGAATTGAGCTAAGATAAAGTGAAGCACGAACCTTCTAAAAAAATCAGCTGTTTCAACTATTCACTAGTGCTCGGTAACTCCCCAGTGTCGAAAATGATTACTAATTAGTTACAAATAAATAAAATTGAAAATTCATAAAATAATAAAACAATTTTATTCTATGACTCGACTTTTTACTAATTTTGATAACTTTTTCTTAGTTATGTTTTCCTTTTTATTTTTTTGGTTTTGAATATAAGTAAACTGTCTCATGCGCATTATTATGTAATAGGAAAAAATGTTTGTCAACATTTTAATTTGATGCTCCTGGATAGTACATGGAACTTCAGTCATATTCTGTTTGAAGAATTCTTCATATGTGTTTTCAAACACATCACTTGCATTTGCATGTAACGCAAAGCACTCTTCGAGGCATTTAACTATAATATACAAATTAATACTGGGGTATGTTAGATAGCCTCTTGTTTTAGCATTAATTAAATCAGCTTCTTTTCCCATGCCAACTCCAGAGGTATTTAAATTATTCAGACTTTCAATGAACTTATCACATTTAGTATTCTTTACTAAACGCCTTGCTATATAACTAAAATTAAAATGAGTGATTATATAAAGTACCAATTTTGAAAGAAAAAATACATTATTTATTTTACCCAGCCAAAATATGGTACTTTTCTGTTATCCCTACTACCTCGAGTCTCCATTCTGTTATCTCGACTACCACGCCGATGCTGTGACCACAACCCGCTCGATTACCTATTGCTGACAGTTGTTGTATTTCCGTCATTGTATTTATTAATTTTAAAATAATTATGAATCTGTGGAATTTACCAAACAGTGAAAAGGATGCGATTGAATTTTTGCAAGAGAAGGGTTTACTTCCAGGGCACCGTGAATGCAAAAATAGAATTTTAGACCTCTGTAACCGTGATTTTTTATTTTTATATGTAATATTTAATATCTTGATGAATTTATGTTTAATGTTATAATTTATAGAATAGACTTTCAACTGCTGTGATAATTTTAGAATATGTAACTTGGCGTTTTGTGATAATTTTAAGGACATACTAATATGCATTATTATATAAATGGCAATTCATGTGGCTTATGTATTAAAATATAGAACTATCTAGATATTACTTTAGTAGTCGAGTTAACAGAATTGAGTGGTCTCTGTAGTCGCGGCTAGTGGTAGTAGGGATAACAGAAAAGTACCCAAAATATATACAACACACTCGAACACTGTCGAATCTGTATAATTGTGTTCTAACAAAATGCCATCCAAATCCCAACAATCATCTCTAATAATTTTGTCAATTTTATTTTTTAATTTATTCACTTTAGTAACTCTTTCAGGCAAATTTTCTGTATCATTAATTATGCTATTAATTATGTTTATGCCAGTCATTGAAATTATAGGAATTGTTTCTGTAAATTGAAATGAATACAATTTTTGTACTTTTTGTATAGTATTCAAATTAAAAAGAAGAATTCCACAATTCTTATTCATTTTAAAAACAAAATTTTCAAAAATGTTTATTTTATTATAGCAAAATAGCAAATCAACAAAATTCCAACAACATCATCAGTTATCACGTGTATTATGTAGTGTCTTGAACACAAAATATTATATTATATTTATAAAAAAATTATAACACAAATGATTTATGATTCGTCTGGAAAAGCGCGGTAACATCAATGATAGTATTGTACAAAATAATTCCGATAGTATCGCTAGTGATTAGTTGGAACAGCTGATTTGTTCAGAAGATTTGCAATTGTAAACAGGTCGATTCCTAACGTCCTGTACACAGAATATATGAAATCAGAATGGTCACATCTCAAAAAATTACATTGTTCTTATGGAAAGCTGATAAGAAGGTCCGCCATATTGAATGCATACGTCAGTGTTGCCCCCCAAAAAAATCTTAGATTTACCTTTTACAGTTCAAAAATTCAGATATACATTTTATTTAAATTTGTAATTATAAATACTGTCATTACATTGTAAAATTTGCTGAACAGAAACACTTTTAACTTTGAAGTATAATAAAA